GTGCACTGCACTGTCGGGCGCCCAAATTGGGCTTTTGAATTTTTAGCCCATTTTTTTCGATCGAAAACACGGAATTTTTACCTCGCTGTGTTCGCTATCCCGATCTTCATCCGATGAACTCATTTATGTTCGTATATCACACCAATAAGAATGATTTGTGAAGAAATCGTCTTGAGAGCAATTTTTTTTAGAGAGAGAGAGAGAGAGTATCTTTGAACGGTAAATAGCCTTTTTCAAACGGTAAAAAGCAAATCCCTATCTCAAAACATGAATTTAAGGGATGAACCCAGTCCTATATATTTTCTTTATTAGGTTGTATCTGAAATGGCCCCATAAAAAAAATAATCTTTTAGAAGTAAAAAAGATTAAACAATCCATGTTGGTTTGATATTTCAAATCTTAGTTGTATTAATTTACTATTAATTAATCAAAAAACAAAGTTGAGGATAAATAAAATAAACATTGACTTTACAATTTGATAATTACAGCAGGCCAACCATCTTCTACACGAACATTAAAACTATGCAAATGTATATATATATATATATAGAGTTAATAGCACCAAACCCCCTGTGTTATTTTTAATTGTCAAAAACCCCTCTATGTATTAAAAATTAGCAACGACCCCCTTATATTCTATTTAGTAGTGCAAATCGCCCATTATTCGCCATTTGACTGTTGACTTAGCTTAAATGACTGTAATACCCCTAATACATAAAACACAAATATACCCAAAACACTAATTTGTTTTCAATTTACATAAATGAATTTAAATTCATTAATTAAATACCTTATTCTTCTTCCAACCAGTGCTTCCATCGCCCCAAATGTATTTCGCAAGTTCGTGATCGGTAAAACGCCGACTCAATCGTCGGAAAACAAAATGGTGCCCTCGCCGGAGCAATCAAACTCCAACGGTGCCGTTCGAGATTTTCCCATTCAGTATTGTACCCCACCCTGACCTTCTCTTCCCAATCAATTATCTTTTGTGTGCCACCATCTTCACCGAGGTCAACCCATTTGGAGCAGAATATCGTAAGAAGAAAAGAGTGTATCGGGATGTTGTGCTGCAAGGAAAGAAAAAAAAAAGGGTTTCTGAGCAAAATTCTGAAAATTTCAGTTGGAATTTTCGTTCGGAAATTTCAGGAAAAAGCTTAAAGCTCAGCTTTCAAATTTCCGGCCCTTCCCTTGATTTGGTTTGATGTAGAAAAGAGCTTCAAGCTTAGAATGTTGGTTGGTTTTTTGCTGGAAAAAAACATGAAGGAATGGAGTGATCTGTCTAAGAAGAAATTCAGTCGGGAAAAAAAATCTGTCGGGAAAACGTGCAGAAAAACGTATCGTTTGGTCAATTTCCGGCTAAGGGGCGCCATCGGGGTAGCATTTTGTGTGGGTTGTGCGTGAAAATGGTGGAAAGTTTAAACAGTAATGAGATAATCTGGGGGAGAGGGCGTTTTGAAATTGCCAAGGACTGAATTGAAAATTCTGAAACTTTCATTTTGGGTAATGAAAATTTTGGGGTTAATCTGTAATTTTAATTTTTTTGATTTTAAGGGTATTTAGGTCTTTTCAGGTCAGAACACGCACCCCCAGCCGCACAATCCGCGCGTGAAGAACACCATAACCCGTTAGGGACCTTATTGGCTTTGACTAACTTTCATAGGGGGGTCCGTGCTAATTTTTTTAACACAAGGGATTTTTCAGCAATTAGAGTTTACATAAGGGTGGTTCTTGCAAAAAACCATATATATATATATATATATATATATATATATATATATATATATATATATATATATATATATATATATATATATATATATATATATATATATATATATATATATATATATATATATATATATATATATATATATATATATATGTGCAAATCTCACCTTACTATTTGAAGTTGCATTCTATTTTTATATTACAAACACATATTTTTTACTGAGCCAAAAACACGTACGCCGACGAGCACTCTTGACTCAGATAATCGTTCACCAGACTTACATTTAAATTTCATCTACTGAGTTACGATAAGTGAAAATAAGGTCGGTAACTAAGAGGGCCTCGTTTTCGATTTTTGCCTCGGGCACAATTACTTTTTTTTTTTAATAATTAAAATGTTGAAACCAATGAACTTGTAAAAGATATACAAGCTAGCATTATTGCTTAATCAGCTGACTTTAACATATCATATAGTATTATCGCAGCGTCATGCCATCAAATTGTTCGATATTTTATTTCGTTCTCCACAATTCTCAGTTTCCTACGCAATTAGAACGGCACATTTTCGTTGCAGTTTACGGTTGACCATTTTTTATCGCCCGGGAAAAAAATTATGGAGACAACATTAGCCTTATTAGTTCTCATCTCTATCGCCGTGGCAGTGTCCGTAAAATGGGCAGTGAATTTAGCAAATTTTGTTTGGTTCAATCCAAGAAAATTGGAGAAGTTTCTGCGGAGTCAAGGACTCAACGGGAATCCTTACAGACCGTTTTTCGGAGACCTTAAGGAAATGACAAAAGTCATCAACGCCGAACAAAAAAGATCGATTCGACTTTCCGACGACACTTGTCCACATGTTTTCGCATATTACCACGACATCCTCAACAAGTATGGTAAGAATCATATCATGATTATATGAATTATGATCATCTGAGTTTTAATTATGTAGCAATTAATCGGCCCGATAAAAGTTGCGCGATTGGTTTGAATATAATATCAGGTGAGAATTCGTTCTGGTGGTTTGGGCCGTGGCCGAAGCTGAATATAGTTGACCCGGAGCTGATAAAGGAGATTCTAAAGAAACCGGATGTATTTAAAAAGCCCCTTCCAGAAGTAGGCAAGATCCTTACGAGTGGGATTGTGCTTCTCGAACGCGAAAAATGGGCTAAACATAGAAAGATTATCAATCCTGCTTTCCATCTACACAAGTTGAAGGTAACTAACTATATATATAGAGTTTATTGTATGTATATCGAATTGCTGAAAAACTCCCCATGTTATTTTATTGGCAAAAACCGTGTCATAATGCATTTTTTTAGGACGCAGCGCAGACCCCTAAAAAGTGAGTTTTTAGGGGTAATTTGTCAAATATAGTTGAATCATAGGGTATATTTTTGGGCTAAATATAGTTTGCACTCCTGTACTATCATCACTGTCGCATATACCCCTTGTACTATCAAATGCGACAAAATAACCCCTGTTGTCCATCCTGTTACAATAGGTGTCCCTTTCAATTGTTGACTGACCGTTGCCCTAGCAGTTGGAAAATTTCAGACCAAAATACCCCTTTGATTGTTGTGTATAGAAGGTTCTTCACTCAGTTGTACTCAATTTCTTACCTATTTCTTCCTAATTTTAGTTACCATTCCTTTTTTTTACCCAAAACTTCTGAACAAATTTTAAATTTTAGAAATTATTTTAATTTGTTTTAAAAAATTATAAATAATTACCCGGTTAAAAAAATGGTTTTCGGTAGTTTAAATTCTCAAAATTCATGTTTTAGGCCCAAACACTACATGTCATATTTTTCTGGAAACTTTTGTTCTGTTGTACGTCTTCGAATTATTTTTGCCCAAGTTACAAAGTCAGAAAATGTCTATTTATATCAAATAAAAGTAAAGGTAAAAAGGTAAATACACTGCAAAAACTAACGTCGTTAGAGATGTGAGAGTTGATTGGTAAGGTGAGGGGCTATTTTATCGCATTTCATAGAACAAGGGATATATGCGACAACGATGATAGTACAAGGGTACAAAGTATTTAATCCTATTTTTTTTACTAATAAAATAACAAGGGGAGTTAAAAAAACACAGGGGTACCGACTGTAATAAACTCTAATCATATATATAGGGGTAAATTACGGCCACCCCTGAGGTAAAGTCAAATTACGAAAAAACCTCTCTTGTTTGGGTAATTACAACCACCTCTCAACTATATATTGTCTTACGAAAAAACCCCTCTTTCAGTAGGTAAATTTGACACTTAAGTATGGACGTGTAGAAAAATACATAGTTGATGGGTGGTTGTAATAACCCAAACATAAGAGATTTTTTGTAATTTGATATTACTTCAGGGGGTGGCCGTATATATTTAAAACCTTTATAAATTAATACAGTCGGAATCATCCAATAATTTATCGAAATATTGATTTAACGATATATTTTTTAACATGTTGTCCTCAAGTTGGGACCAAGAAAACATATCATTTAAACGAGATTATTAATTTATCGAGGTATGTTGTCAAATTCCCCACGCTACTATCGTGGGCTATTTCTTTACCATAAATCAACCAAAGCGAACAAAACTTAGCAAAATAAGAGATCGATAGACCGCCATGAAATCAATCTCGTTAGATCCAAATTTGAATCTATGTATCGGAGATACTAATATTAAATAATTAATTTCACTAACAGCTTAACCTTTTGGCTGATGTGGTCATTCAACATAGATTGTCAGTAACTTAGGTGAATCTGAAAATTCCTTTGACAGAATATGGTTCCAACAATTGGTTTAAGCTGTTCAAACATGATACACAACTGGAAATCCATAATTTCAAATAGTAATAATGAAGGTGGTTGGTCAGAAATTGACGTGTGGCCCCACCTCGAAGATTTAACCGGAGACGTAATTTCGCGCACAGCGTTCGGCAGCCGCCATGAACAAGGAACAAGGATATTTCATCTCCAGCGCGAAAGATCTAAGCTCACCATGCAACTATTGCAGCTGTCCTTCATCCCTGGATGGAGGTTTGTAATAAAAATAAAATCGCTTCACGAATTCGTCTCGTTTTCGTTCGAGGATATTAAAAAATGATGTATGTGTTTTCTTTTTTGTCTTTATAGATATCTTCCGACGAAACTAAACAAGAAAGTCAGGGCGATAAACGACGAAATCGAGTCCTTACTAAGAGGCATAGTCGACGAAAGGCAGAAGGCCTTGGAGAGGGGAGACGTCGTTGCTAGTGATGATTTATTAGGTATATTAATGGAATCGAATTCAAGATTCGTTGATGAATTCGGAAACAAGAATAAGGGGATGAGTATCGAAGATGTGATCGGGGAGTGCAAGCTATTCTACGTAGCCGGCTCGGAGACAACGTCTTGTTTGCTTGTGTGGACTATGGTTTTGATGTGCAAACACCCCGAGTGGCAAACTCTAGCGAGAGAAGAGGTTATTCGAGTTTTCGGGAATTCGGAGCCAAGTTTCGAAGGCTTAAATCAGCTCAAAACTGTAAGTTTTAGTTGAAGTTTTTGAGTTTATTGCATTTGCACCCCTGTATTATATCGGATTGCTAAATAAATCCATATATTATTAATATTAGCAAAAAATTCCCTATATATACTGCGTTTAATTTCATTTTGCACCCTTAAAATGTATCATTTTGGCACTTTGCACCCTCGAAACATGTTTAATCATTCAAATTGCAACCTAGTTTATTTTCCGTCCTCAAGTTTCCACTGTTGACATATTTTCTGATTGTCAACATAGTCATTTTTGCTCGAAACCGTGAAGAAAATATCAATTGAATAGCAAAAATGACCATGTCGACGATCAAAAAAATAAGTTAACGACGGAAAATTATGGCCGAAAAATATTGCAGGGTGCACTTTGAACGATTAACATTTAAACGTTTTGAGGGTACAATGTGCCATAAATAAATTTTGAAGGTGCAAAGTGTCAAAATAGTATATTTCACGGGTGCAAAATGAATTTAAGCCATATATAGTGCATTTAGTTTAGCACACAACCCCTAAATGACGAGGTTTTAGGGGTAGTTTGCTATAAAAATTGTATTGCACGGAGGGTTTTTGCTAATATTAATAACAATAGATTTTCTTTAACAATTATAATAAATGCAGAGGCGTCGAATGCAATATAAAACCCTAACGATTTTCATACAAGTGTATTTACGATATCGACTATTTAGACAAATTTTGCTCGTCCGGGCATGCAGGTGACCATGATCCTGCAAGAAGTGTTGAGGTTATACCCGCCGTTTCCTAGGATACCCCGAGCCACTACCGAGACGGTGAAACTAGGGAACATGATTATTCCTGCAGGGGTACATTTGTCATTGCTAGTGGGCTTAACGCATTGCGATCCCAATATTTGGGGCGACGATTCAAAGGAGTTCAATCCATTGAGGTTTTCTCAAGGAGTAGTTTCCGATGACGTGGCGAAAATCCAATCCTCGTTGATCTCTTTCAGTTCAGGCCCTCGAGTTTGTATCGGCCAGAATTTCGCGATGATCGAAGCGAAAACGGCTATAGCAATGATTCTTCGAAGCTTCTCTTTTGAGCTTTCTCCGTCTTATTTACATGCCCCTTTCGCGGTTCTCACTCTTCAACCACAGTACGGTGCTCCGATCATTTTGCGCAGTCTGCAATCATTGCCTGGATCCTAAACAATTGTATACACCACATACACACACACATATGTATATAATGCAATAAATTGTGTAGTTGTATTTCGTTTTCAACCAAATTTAAGATTTGTACTGTTGGATCATGTTAGTTTAATTTGTAAAACCTCCCCTTGCACTAACACTTAGTGGGCCACATATATCCGCGTGGATCAAATTCTGGAGACCTTCAGTACGTTCCATTTGCCCCTTAAAGGTCAGTTTGGTCATTTTCTCTTTAAGATATGATTTACATGTTTATAGTGAGTTCACGTCATCCAAAGTGAATAATTCCTCATGAACAAACTCGTTCATCATTCTTAAAGAAATATGACCTAATCGGGCATGCCAAAGTTGTGTGAGGTTTTGACTTGTATCTTTTTGTTTTGCTGATATAACATTTTGCCTGAACCTAGTTCTTACAAGTTGTTTAATAGTTGTCACTTACAAATAACATTTTCATCCTTTTGTATAATGCAAACCGGTTTTTCAAAAACGAAAGTAAAACCTTCTTTGTGAGTAGTATGAATAAAAATAAGGTTTCTAATAAGAGACATAACAAATAAGTAATTGTTAAAAACAATAGTAAAACGAGAATCGCAAATATTTAAATAAACTGTTCTTATTGCTTCAACAACAACCTTTGCTTCATTTCTCATTCTTAAGTAAGTCTCACTCACCTTTAGTCTTATTTTATACCCCCAAAATTCACAAGCAACAAATAATACGGGTAAACAACATAAAACCCCCCTGTGTTAAGAAAACCTGCACCAAACCCTCCTGTGTTTTTTTCCTTGCGTAAAATCCCCTTGTGTTTTATTTTACTTTGCACGAAATCCCCTTTCCGTTAAAAGTTAACACCGTTAGCTATAAATGGGGTTTTATGCAAGTTTTTTGTAACATAGGGGGATTTGGTGCATGATTTTGCAAAATAAGGGGGGTCTACGCAAATTAATTTATTCATTTAAAATTCAAATTATTTTCTTAAATTAAGTCGAATATATCTATTAATTTAAAATATGAAATTAAGAAAATAATACTCGAGATGGAAGTTGGAACAAATTCACAAATTATTTATGTTCTTTTCGCATATAATTAATCAAGAATAAATTATAAACATATATAATAATTCTAATAAAATAATTATATAATTTAAAAATTCAAAATTCATACATTATATTAATAAAGGGATTATTTGAGAAAACCCCCTCATATGACATTTACAATTAGAGGGGGTCCATTTTTTTTTCCACATTTTGAGATAAATCCATTTATTTAAATATTATATAATTAAATCATTATAATCCTATTATACCCTTCTTAACCTAATCGTGTACTCATCTAAATTGAACAGCCGTTAATCTATCGTTCCTCATTTCTATTCTCTTTCGTTCTATAACACACAATATTCATCTCCCCTAATAATCCGGCCACCCTTTCTTAGCCGACGCTTCGCCGAGATTCCCATGGCCACCGACACTTCGCCGAGATTCCAGAAGTCGGACCTTCTCCCCGTACCAGAAATCGCCGCCGCCGCGGTGGAGACGACGGACTTCACTCCTGCCAGTTCATGGTCGTCGGCTCGACCGCCGGCATGGTGGAGCACTTGTGCCACTTTTGCCAGCGATACTGTGCTTACTCCCATGGATATGGTGAAGCAGAGGCTGCAATTGGGTAACATTCCGTACAAAGGTGTGTGGGACTGCGTGAAGAGAGTGCTGAGAGAGGAAGGGTTTTTTTCTAAATCCAATTCCTCTAGCCGTGAGTTTTTCGCAAATCCAATTCCAGATTTATATTTTCTTTGACTATGATTCTTAAATTTATTAGACAATTACATTACGAAGTTGATATGTTTTCCCACAGAACGATTTGTCTCCTTCCCCCTATATTTTGTCGGCAAATAGATAAGTTCGTAATGGATTACGTTAATTCGTAGTGGATTATGTAAATTTTTATTCGATTTCGATACGTTTGTAGTGCACTATATTAATATGAAAGTTGATTACGATAATTTCATACTGATTTCTACGTTAATCGATAGTTGTTTTCGATGAATTTATAGTAGTTTTCAATGAGAATGTAGTGGATTTCAATCCATATATTACGTTAATTTTGTAGCGGATTATTTTTAACCTATAAAGTGGATTTTGATAACTTTGTAGTGGATTTTAATAATTTCGTAATGGATTACGTTACTTCGTTGTGGATTATGTAAATTTTTATTCGATTTCGATACGTTTGTAGTGCATTATATTAATATTAAAGTTGATTAGGATAATTTCATACTGATTTCTACGTTAATCGAATAGTGGTTTTCGATGAATTTATAGTGATTTTCAATGAGTATGTAGTGGATTTCAATCCATATATTACGTTAATTTTGTAGTGGATTACTTTAACCTATAAAGTGGATTTCGATAACTTTGTAGTTGATTTTGATAATTTCGTAATGGATTACGTTAATTCGTTGTGGATTATGTAAATTTTGTTCGATTTCGATACGTTTGTAGTGCATTATATTAATATTAAAGTTGATTACGATAATTTCATACTGATTTCTACGTTAATCGAATAGTGGTTTTCGATAAATTTATAGTGATTTTCAATAAGTATGTAGTGGGTTTCAATCCATATATTACGTTAATTTTGTAGTGGATTACTTTAACCTATAAAGTGGATTTTTATAATTTTGTAGTGGATTTTGATAATTTTGTAATGGATTACGTTAATTCGTAGTGGATTATGTAAATTTTTATTCGATTTCGATACGTTTGTAGTGCATTATATTAATATTAAAGTTGATTACAATAATTTCATAATGATTTCTACGTTAATCGAATAGTGGTTTTCGATGAATTTATAGTGTTTTTGAACGAGTATGTAGTGGATTTCAATCCATATATTACGTTAATTTGTAGTGGATTACTTTAACCTATAAAGTGGATTTTTATAACTTTGAAGTGGATTATGATAATTTTATAATGGATTACATTAATTCGTAGTGGATTATGTAAATTTTTATTCGATTTCGATATGTTTGTAGTGCATTATATTAATATTAAAGTTGATTACGATAATTTCACACTGATTTCTACGTTAATCGAATAGTGGTTTTCGATGAATTTATAGTGGTTTTCAATGAGTATGTAGTGGATTTCAATTTTTTGTTAAACTTGCGGTAAAAAAACCAATTAAAAAAATGAAAATTGAAAAAAAAAATATATATTTTTTTAATCGAAATTACAAAAAGATTGTAAAAGATGAATTTATAGTGGTTTTCAATGTGTATGTAGTGGATTTCATTTTTTTGTTAAACTTGCGGTAAAAAAACCAATTAAAAAAATGAAAATTGAAAAAAAATAAATATATTTTTTAAATCAAAATTAAAAAAAGATTGTAAAAAGAATCAAAAAAAAAAAAAAAGAAATGCGTGATTTGTATTAAGAGAGAGAGATTTGGGGGAGTTGGTGAGAGATTTAAGGGGAGTTATTTTAGGGGAGTTATTTAGCAATAATAATTTAATTATCTTTTTTTTTAGATATATTAAGGGTAAATAAGATATTAACCTTAATGAAGGGGTTATCCCTAATAGTAAAAAAAAATATGGATTTATGCCTCTAAGAAATTTGTATGAGGGGTTATCTCATATAACCCCATTAATAAATTATATCATATAAAAATTGATTTAAAAAAAAAAAAAACATTCACCACACCCACACCTATTAAATTTTTATGTTCCATATTGTATTTGAATAAATGTGTTCAATTTAATTTCAAAAAATAATATGAAATTTAAACAAATAAATTATTTTTTGCATAAAATCCCCTTGTATTGTAGAAAATATGCACCAAATCCCCCTATGTTACAAAAAACTTGCATAAAACTCCATTTATAGCTAACGGTGTTAACTTTTAACAGAAAGAGGATTTCGTGCAAAGTAAAATAAAACACAAGGGGTTTTACGTAGGAAAAAAAAACACAGGAGATTTGGTGCAGGTTTCCCTTAACACAGGGAGTTTTTATGCTGTTTACCCCAAATAATACAGTCAACTCCATTTCACTTTCACCCAACAACCGGTTCACAATAAAAAAAATTGCGGCTAAATAGGACGGCGACTTGTTTTGTAAATTGGGAAAATGTGAGGGATACAGAGTGGGGAATTTGATTTGAAAAGACAATTATACCCTTGCAAGGGACATGCGCATTGCACATGAATTCCGGCCAAAATGACATGAAATATAGTATATATGAGAACTGTATTTAATTTTGGGTTAAATACAGTTTACATCCTAAAATATACCATCTGTAACACTTACCTTATAAAGTATCATTTGTAAGACTTACCTCCTTCAGGGACAATTTAATATGTACTTTAAATTCTAATACCTCAAAATTTTCTCTTTTATTGAATGAATAACTAAACGAATAATTTAATTATAAAACTAAAAATATTTTTTGGAAAATGCAATATTTAAAAGTTTAAAAATATTATCTCGCCTTGGGTACATATTTAATAAATAACATTTAATTGTTGTTGGACCAATTAATCGAATATATTCATATCGATAAATTTTAAGAAATCAATACATAACTAATAGTAATCTTAACTATTTAAATTTATTTTAGTTCATTGATTTCTTAAAATATATTTTCATTCATTATTATATTTTCAATAATTTAATTTTAGTTACTTTTCATTTTTTATGATCCAATAACTATTAGTTTGTTATGTTTATTATTTTTTAAATTTTGAATTATAAAATAATTAATGTTGAGGGGTAAGTGTTACAAATGATACTTTAAAGGGTAAGTGTTACATACGCTATAATTCAGGGGTGCAAAGTGTATTAAACCTTTTTTTTTTTTTTTTTTTTTTTTTTTGTCGAGGTTGCAAAGCGTGCAAAATGACTAAAGTTCACTCTTCAAAAAGGCGGCAAAGTGCTATTTACTCTAATACAAAAAATGGTAAATTACACCTACACCCCTGAGGTATGCTAAAATAATTTTAATGTCCCTGTGGTATTGGTAATTACCACACTCCGAAACAATGTATCGGTCGACAGGACATGAAATCATTTTCACCCTGTGGTATTGGTAATTACCACACTCCGAAAAACAATGTATTTTCTGAAAACATATCACAGTTTTGAGAGAAAAAAAAAAAGAAGAAAACTTTAAAACTTGGGACAAGTTATGGGCCCGAAATTAGAATTTAATTTATTCAAAATATATGGTGTGTAGCGAAAGAAAAGGAAGAACAAGTTTCAAGAATGAATCGCAAGTGTTGACTTTTTCCAATCGTAAGTCGTAACACAGCCAACTAACCATCATTTAATATAAACTCCCAGTACATGCGTTTGTCCCTTTAAATAATTGTGGAGAGAGAAGAATATATATATTTGATATTAAATTAAAAAAAAGGATGAGTATTATGATATTCATCAATAATTGAGATATATATATATATATATATATATATATATATATATATATAGGGTATATAACTTTGATAGTAGTTTATTATTGGACTTTTCGTAACAAAATAAAGTTGTTAGAATTCTATATTCATGTACCTAAATGTTAAATGATAAATACTATACTATAGCCAGAGCCAGAGGTAGGGGTGGAACTCCGAGAGATCGGATCTGAATAAGCACTTTCGAGATTTTTTTGTGAAGTGAAAAACTAATTCTAATTTCAGTACGAAGAAAATCGTAAATTGGGATGCAATAACTCATTCCAAAATCGAAAAGTTTTCGAATTGGAATCGGCGTGGTTCGGAAAATTTCAAAATTTTAGTGACCTAAAATATGAATTGCATAAGGGCTAGTACTTCGGTTACCTATATTGGATTAGATGAGATTGTATTAATTATCTATTGATTAATTAATTATTTAATTAGTAAGACGTTCGGTTCATTGCATTAAATCTTGTATTAATCTGTTAAATTCTGGTATTAACAAGAATTGTAGTAAGACGTTGGGTTCAATAGGGGAATTTTTGCTAAACAAATGTTACAACGGGCGGTTTTGCTAATATTAATAATACGGGGATTATTTTAGCAATTCAATATAAATATATATACAACCTATGGGTACTAATAAGATAACATATAAGACTTTAAATCATATATTATGCATATAAGATTTTAAATCATTGGTGATATCTGCAAGCAATCCAACCTCCTCCAGCTTCATATATTATATCAATAATGCATTTGAAAACTGAGATCATATTTTGGAAAATGGATGTAACATTTGCAGTAATAATTCTCACCACAATCATAGTAGCGGTATGCGCAAAACGGGTCGTAAAGTTACTAAATTGGGTTTGGTTTACGCCGAGAAAGATCGAGAAAATCCTAAGGCAACAAGGCCTCAATGGGACTCCCTATATGCCATTTCTTCGAAACCTCAACGATTTCGTCACAGGCATGAACGAAGGTCAAACACGAACGATTCAGCTCTCCGATGATTGTTTGCCTCACATTTTCTCGTATCACCACCACATTTTCACCAAGTATGGTACGAATATTTACTATATAATATATATATATATATATATACACACACACATAATAATATATGATAGATTAATTTATATTATATCAGGTGAGAATTCATTCTGGTGGTTCGGGCCATGGCCGAAGCTGAATATAGTTGATCCGGAGCTAATAAAGGAAATTATGAGCAAACCCGATTTATTTCAGAAACCCTTTCCCGAAACGGGTAAGATCCTAGCTGGCGGACTTGCGTTTTTGGAAGGCGAAAAATGGGCTAAACATAGAAAAATTGTTAATCCTGCTTTCCATGTGGACAAGCTCAAGGTAATTTAATGAGTCCTATTTTTATGTTTATTTGTTTTTATTTGTTTTTATTTTTTATTTTTTCGGAAATTTGGACTAATTAGAATCGGAAAAATTATTCGTTGATGATGAATAGAATATGGTACCGTTGATTGGTTTGAGTTGTTCAAACATGATACAAAAATGGAAAGCCATAGTTTCATCTAATAGTGAAAAGGGTAGTTTGTCGGAAATTGACGTGTGGCCGTTTCTAGAAGATTTAACGGGCGACGTAATTTCACGCACGGCTTTTGGGAGTAGCCACGAAGAAGGAATGAGGATATTTCAACTCACGAGGGATAAACTTAAGCTCACTATGCAAATATTCCTGCTGTGTATGATCCCGGGATGGAGGTTCGAATTAATTATATTATTACACAAACTTTGTAATAATTGCAATATTTTAACGTCATCGTCCGATATTTATATTTTTTTCGATGATTCGATTTTTTTGTTGTTGTTATAGATATCTTCCTACAAAAATAAATAGGGAATTGAAATCAATGACCGAAGAGCTCCAATCTTTACTAAGAGGTATGATCGACAAAAGACAGAAAGCGATGGACAGGGGCGAAACGGTCGACGACTTTTTAGGTATCTTAATGGAATCTAATTCAAGATCCATTCAAGAACATGGAAACAAGAACTCCGGAATGAGTATCGAAGATGTAATGGAGGAGTGCAAGCTGTTCTACTTCTCCGGCTCGGAGACGACCTCGAGTTTGCTCGTGTGGACAATGATTTTGTTGTGCCAACATCCTGAGTGGCAAACGCTCCGCTTGGGACTGAGCACGGTCCAGGCCGTAACGGAAGA